TTTGGGCAGTTCGGGTTTCTGCGGAAGTCTGAACAGGGATTCAGACTTGGATTCCCGGAGGGTTTTGATATTCTTCAAATGTTTGTTGCCATTCAGCAGTGGACCGTCATCCTAGACTTCCCTCCACAAACTGGGACTTGTTTCTGTGGTGAAATGTCTTCCCTGGGCAGGGCAGCTCATGCCCGCCGGACACGGAGCTGCTGAGTCCCTACTGCCAGGACACCCCACTTCTGCTGGGCTCTGGCTCCGGGCAGCCTTGCTGTGCGGAGGATTTACAGCCAGAGCCTTCAGGCCAGCTTATCCTGAAAGCTGGCCGGTGGGAAACTGCTGAGCGTTCCTACCAAGGAGAAGCAAACTGACCCAGGTGAAACTGTAAGGTCTGAGTATGCCGGTCTTGGTGCTTTCCCTTTACCCATTCTTGCCGCGTGTTTCCATCCTTCGGCTGGAGATTTGGCGTTCAGGATCTGGCCCTGGTACCAGATTGGTGGGCTGGGATTTTTTCTCTCTCGTCTTTCTCTTGGTTTGTGCCTTATTTTGAGGCTTTGCTCTTCCCTCGGACACAGTTGTTATTTTGCCCAAGAGAATGCGTTGAGTTTTTTCTTCAAGCTGTAAATCTTTCTTGGCGTACTTCAGAATACTGCTGTGCTGGTTCCTGTGCCAGCAGGCTGTTCAGCAGCAGGCGTGTCTTCATGCTGAGAAAGAAACACGAAGGTGCCGGGAGCACACTTTGATCTCTTTGATTTGGGACCTTAAAAATGCCAATAAATATCTTCAGGGTGGGTGTCAGGGGGATGGGGCCAGACTCTGTTCAGTGGTGCCCAGCGACAGGACAAGGGGTAATGGGCACAAACTGAAGCAGAGGAAGCTCCAGCTGAATATGAGGAAGAACTTCTTCCCTCTGAGGGTGATGGAGCCCTGGCCCAGGCTGCCCAGGGAGGCTGTGGAGTCTCCTTCTCTGGAGATATTCCAGCCCCGCCTGGACGCGGTGCTGTGCAGCCTGCTCTGGGTGACCCTGCTTGGGCAGGGGGTTGGGCTGGGTGACCCACAGAGGGCCCTTCCAACCCCAAGCATTCTCTGATTTATTTATTTATTGTTAGGGTACAGAGTGTTAGCCCCAGTGAAAAGGTGACTGTGACCAGCCCTGAAAATTATATCTTCCAGTGCTCAGACCCGTCAGGTTGGAAAGCGTAAGCAAATGCTCAAAATATAACTTGCGTGTTTTTGCCCGTGCGTGGATAATCCAATCGCTGTTTGTCAGGAGGTGGCACTCGTTATTGCCCACCTGGGCCTGCCTATGCCCAGCACTCCCTGCCCGTAGCTGGGGTCGCTGAACTGGGATGTTGGTTTTCCCTCGTACTGTCTGGATGGGGCACGACCAGCACCAGAACAAGAGGAGCCGGTGCCCGAGGGTCCATCAGTAATGCCGGTGACGGAAAGGAGGGGTCTGGGTGGGGAGAGACATCGTCCCTCCCAAATCCATGTGTGGTGGATCTCCTGGGTTCGGAGCACGTCCTTCGGTAGCACTGTGAGCCATGAGCAGCCGGTGAAAAACAGGTTGGAGATGATGTGCAGGGAAGAGTGGTGAAGGTTTTAGAAGGACGACACTTTGGGCTGTCACGTTGCTTTGGAGTGGGAGCCTGACAGAGCCCCCCGCCCCCCCAAAAAAATATACGGTGGGAGTTGAGGGCTGTGAAGGCGTTGGTGGATTTGGACTCTGCGGCTGTGCGTGAAGCACCTGGAGAAGCTGTTCAGCCCTGCTCTGCCTAGCAGGAGGTGGTCTCCTTCCCAGGGCCATCTGCCCTGCCTTCCCGGTGTCGTGACACCAGCGTGCGGGCTGTTTGCCTGGGGCAGAAACGTGCCGAGGATGAAGACTTGGCTGCCTTTTCCATTTGGGTGCTGGGCTTGTTTGTGAGACACCATCGTCTTCCCCCTTCGCCCTGCAGACAAACGCTTGTCTGGTTGCACGTGCTGGGAGGTGGAGGGGAGGTTAAACATTCGGGGTGGCTGGTGCAGGTTACTAGTCCAGCACAGGAGCAAACTCTCTCACGTTGGCTCCATCAGCCTCAATGAGGGAGCTGCTCTGCTCTCACTATCGAGAGCGATGAATGCGTCTCCTTAGAAGAAAAAAAAAGCTGGCACGCTGTTGCACCGAGCGCGAAGAGTTTGCACCTGGCTGTACGCTGCAGAGCATTCTGCCAAGGGAAGCGCTGCTTTCCAAGTTTGTTAGCCTGCTGCTCGGAGATCTGTGAATTTTTTTTTCGTTTTGTTTTTATTTTCTTTTGCTGGAAATTCTCCCACATTAAATTAAATAGGAGACCTTGGTAAAGGAAATCAGAAGGGATACTTTGAGATGCTTCGTTTGCCAGCAGCCTCTGAACTTGTGACCCTTCCAAATAAAGTCCTCGGGCTTTCCTGTGGGACAGCTCCCGCGGGGTGGAAGCAAGCACCTTTCAGTCTTGCGTGCCTCTGGGAAGGAGCCTTTGACAGCACCGGAGAAGCTGCAGCGCAGCATTCTCCGCAGGGACTTCCAGCGAGGAAACTCGTTCGGCTGATTCGGGGCTGTGATAAATCATGGTTCCCCTGGAGCACGCTGGGACTGCGGAGAGCTGGAAAGAAATGCTAGGGAAACCCAGCTTTTGTAGCGGGCCATCTTTCAGGATGATGTATGGCCCTGTAAAAGAAAGAGATTCCTTTGCTGGGGCTGGCAGAAAACTGCTGCCTTCCATGGGGAAGGAGAATGTAACAATTCTGTTGATGTAAATCCGTGCTGCAGCCTTGCTCTGGAAGCTGTGCTTTGGCGTGGGCCACCTTTGCCCGAGAAACAAACTCTGTGGTGCTAACAGCAACCGGCCCCCGAGAGCCCAAGGGGGTGGAAATTGGTGTGGGGCTGAGATGGGGTGAGAAGTTTGGCAGGAGGGTAGGGAGCGGGTCTCTGGCTGGCTGGGGGGGTAGTGACTTCCCAGATGTGGCTGGGGAAGGCATGGGGTGGCACGGGATGCTGTTGGCCTCGCTGCTGCGTTGTCCTGAGCAAATAATTTCTCTGGGTGGATAAAATGCCTTTTCTTCAAGTTGCACTCACAGGAGCATGTGTCTCATTTCCACTGGCTGTTCCCAGTCAGCTTGGGATGTTTGGCCATGCTGGTAGACTTGTTAGCTGGTGGGGATCTGACAGCATTTTAGGTTCTTCTCGGTTCATCACGAGGGCTTGGATTGCCGAGAAGTTGGGGAGAGCCCAAGTCCCGTGTCTGCGTAGCAAACAGAGGCTCTGTCCGAGTTGTGGTTGATGCCCAGTCTGTGTCTAGGTTTGTCTGGACTAACTACGGTCTCTTCTGGAGCTGTTGCCGTGCTTCTGTACTCTGGGGTTTGGTAGCGCTTTGAGGAGACCCGACCAAAAGCCAGAGCCAGCCTCCTTTGAGGCCATCTCCCATTCCTCTGCCGGGTAACCGGGGGCAAACAGCTTTGTTCCCGGGAGAGGGGGAAGCAGCCGAGACCACCCCACTCATGCCAGAGCTTTGCTGCCCGTGGCATCTCCTGGCTGGGGCAGTTGGTGATGGCTGGGCTGTGCCCAGGAGCAGGCGAAGGCTTCTTGCTGTTCCCAGATCCCAGCGCAGCGAGGCTGGCAAACGCTGTTGTGCCGACGGAGGAGCTGAGATGTGGAACAGAGGATGCGGGCACCACATCAGAACCAGCACCAGGTTGTATCAGAGAAAACTCTCCGAGTAGCCTTTCCTAATCGGGCTGCCGCAGACCTGAGTGCAGGTTCCTGATACTCAGGCAAAGGGCCGTGATTCGTTTGGTCTTGGCAGTAAAAGCGAGATGGTCAGTAAAACCCGTCAGTTTTTCAGGCCTCTGATCAGGGATGTTGCTTGTGTAGCAATGGGATGGTTTCCCATGACTTAACAAGAGAAGAAAAAATGGTTCCATCAAATCTGGCCGCTGTTGCGGGCAGTGACTCACCGTTGCTCCTTGTCTGACTCGCTGAGTTCTCTTGAGCTGTACCACCGAGTAACTTGCTCGCTTTTATTTTATTTTTCATCAGCCTACGCAGGCTTCTCGTGTAAGTTTTGTAAGGTCTGTAACCTGTTTGTTATCTCTGAAAGATCTGTTCTGCTTGGTCCTCTGCTTCATCATCTGTGTGTGTTTTGCTCCAGTTCCCGAAGCGGTAACCACGCACTGCAGCATCAGCTCCGTCGGAACACTCCCGGGGTGTAATTTTCTCAACCGCTCCAATGATTTCCAGTCTGTTTCTCTGAGCTGTGAATGTGGAGGTGTCAGTTTGTTTACCTTATTTTCATGGCTTCTGGCCGAGACTCAAGGATTTGTACAGAACTAAAAACTCTGCGAACTTACGTCTGGGTGAATGGACCCACGAGGGGACGAACAACTGGCGTCTGTCTGCCGGAGTGGAAACGGCTGGCTGGCTCTCGGCTGGGCTTGAGAGCAGCGCAGCACGTCCCAGAGCTGACCGTGTGCGTAGGTCCTCCTAGCCCTTGGGTAGACGCTGCCGAGCTCGAGCGCTTCGCCGCTGCCCCCCC